GTATAATAGACGCTAATAATACAAAATTGGGTTATATTTTGGACTCAATTCATAACTCATCGCAAATGTGGACAAACTATGGTTTGAGATCATTGTCTAAAACCAGTTTCTATTATAATAAGTATAATAGTGAACATGAAGAACCATACTGGAGGGGTCCCATATGGATCAACATTAATTATCTAGTGCTCCGAGGTCTTAGACATTATGCCGATATCCCGGGTCCTAATCAGTCAAAAGCGGCGCTTATTTACAAAGAGTTACGAAATAATATAATTGAGAATATGTTCACAGAATATGAGAGGACGGGCTTTGTTTGGGAACAGTATAACGATATGACTGGTAAGGGTCAGGACTCCCACCCCTCCTCGGGATGGTCAGGGGTTGTGGTACTCATTATGTCTGAGTATTATTAATAAGAACCTCGTCAAATTGAAACCAATGTACTAAACATTAATTTAAATAAACCTAAATGCAAACTATGATATACAGTAAAAGGATTATTTCATAAACTATTTTTTAAGCAGGTGTTTTGCTAAGATGTCTAACCCATGAGTCTTAATATTATTCAGTTTTATCAATCACTACAAGGAAATGAATGGAAAATTTTTATCACAAAATAAATCCAAATTAAGTGTTATGAAATGATTATTTTGTTGAACATATTTATTATCTCACATACAATATATTACTTATTTAAGTATTTAAGTGAGCTAATTTTTCATAACATTTATTTAATTATTTTAGCAAATTACTGTATCATTTATTTGATTAGAAATGAATTATTTTATTATAATTCTTGGTACCCTTGTCTTTATAAGTGTTAGTATTTCACGAATAACAGGCAATTCAACGGATGTGAACATACCGTTTGACCACCACTTCCACACCGAACCCATACTGCCATTCAATACTTGGGGTTCATTTCGTGCCTTTCAATACTTCGGTCTCAAGACTTCATCACCAGATTCACCACTTATTGGTTTAGTTTGGTTTAACAATAGCGCCAATAATGTGTCTGCGCTTCACGTGAGACACTGGTGTGATCTGAATGATGGTCTGACCTATGGCTGGAAATATCATAACTTCGATGACTTTGGATTTCAGACTATTAAAGATAATGACTATAATTTTAATACTAGTTTTATTAAATATGCAGCTGATAATTGGAAAGCACTGGTATCTGTAAACCAAAAAAATGCTAAACCCATAATTTCAAATAACAACAGTATTTCGCTGATCATCTACCTGTCCATTCAAAGGGATAAGGATGTGATTCACATCAATGGCTATAATTCAAGTTCTATACAAATCACTGGATTCAATGAATTTATAGGAAATTTCTCACTGAATATCACTTCACAAGGAGATCCACTCTTATATAGTGGACAGTTAGACAGTAACTCATCGGTTGTGGATGTAATCAAAGAAATTAAATCAAATTTGACACCAATTATAATAAACGGGACACAAATATATGGATTAAAAACACAAAAAGTACCCAGTCGTTCACAACTTATAGCATATCAAGTGGTGTTCAGAGAGCAAACAAAACTAATGATTGAATTTAATGTCAAAAAACAATTAAAGGAAAAGCTATCAAATGTCGGCGATTATGATAATGACATGAAAGAGAGAATACGACTTTTCGGACAAGAATTTGATACAAAGTTTGGTTTAAAGGGAAAAGGATTTAATGAGAAACAGATTACGTTCGCGCAGTCAGTATTGAGCGAAATGTTGGGAAGCATCGGATATTTCAACGGAAACTTATCGGTCGACTCACCCGGTATGACATCACCGAAAACCTACGGACCTCTAGAGATGTTATCAGCCGTTCCCTCGCGACCAGTGTTTCCGCGGCCTTTCCTATGGGACGAAGGCTTTCATAATCTGTTGATTCAGCGGTGGAACAGTTCGCTGACACTGAAGATAATGAACTCGT